TGTATCTGTATCTGTATCTGTATCTGTATCTGTATCTGTATCTGTATTTATCTAGCCAGGCTGCAAGCAGTTTGGTTTCTACTGTTTCGAGGACTCTGCTATTGAAATGCTGTCTGCACTCGGTTCAGCCTAAGTGTTCGTCAGTGGATAAACATATGAAGCCCCCTACCCCTCTGCATACACACTACTCAACCATAAACAAGTCCTGTGATTTCTGACAATATAGATGAATCTCAGGGGCACACAGGAAGTGAAACATGCTTCAAAGGCAAGTGCCCAAAGGCAAGTGTTGCAAGATCTCATTTGTATACATTGTATGAAAAGTTGACCTTATAGAAATGATTAAGAGAGACTGAGGTGGGGAAGGGGAGGGAGCTGGGGAAGAAATTAAGGGTTTTTTTTTGCATAATATTCCACAGTAGAGTAACTACCATCAGTAACAACGTAGTTTGTATTTCAAAAAAGCTAGAAGAGATTATTTCCCTTATTTTTATTGTAATTATTGAAGAAAAGATTTTAAAAGTATTACTACCAATACAGGATAAATGTTTTGAAGCCATGGATATGTTAATTGCCATGGTTTTGTTATTGTAAAATGGTTGTGCATTGTGCTGATTAGGTGTTTTGTTTTGTTTTGTTTTTTGTCACCTTGACACAGGCTAGAGTCATCTGGAAGAATCAATGTGTGAGGGCCCAGTACACTGTGGATAGCCCACCTCTGGCAGGAGGTTCCGAGTTGTAAAAATAAAAACACATCTATGCCTGAATCTCTATCTAGATTTGAATTTGTAGAGCCCCCTTACTTAGGTGAGATAACAGCAGAGGATATTTGGGGGACTCTCTTGAAGAACTGGATCAAACAAAAACTTTAGAGCCTTGGTAGCAAATGAGAGTCTTGGCTTCTACAATACAGAAGGGACCAGAGGGTTCTGAAAGGTCTGAGCTGGAAGTAAAGAAGGGGCAGTGGTAAAAGATTGGAGGAGGCATGTCAGGGTCACCTATGGCCCTTGGTTTGTGCGTCCTCAGCATCAAGGTGTGTGCAGGTCATTTTTGATGGACATGGCCTCAGATAGCTACTCTGCTTGGAGGAGAATCCTCAGCTCAGCAGAGGAATCCACACCCGTCAGACTTATCAGAAGTGGATTCCTGTTTCTGATGTTAGGTTCTTTATTTGTATATGGTAAGTGTATGTTTAGAGATGTATAGATATCTCATAAATAAGCCACAAAAGTCTTCCTTAGTATAGCTGGAAAATATGGAATGTGATGGAGATGACCCTTGCCTGGCAGCATGCCCTTTCTCAACGCTCCTTTGCCTCTCGGTGTTCTGTTTGCTGCTTGCAAGAGCCTAATCCTACCATCCACTTTTTTTTTTTTTTTGGAAATACATGAATTGTTTTATTGATCATTAAATGCCCATTGTACTCAGCCACTTTGGTAAATGTAAATTTATTCCATTAGTCAGATTCTCCCTAGTTTAAGCAAAGCTCCCACTGATCAGCCTTTTATGGTGGGGGATTCTGAAATAACATTTGGGCATCCTGGGTAAAACTTTACATTTACAAAGCCGATCTCCTGACCTCCTCCTAGTTTATTGACAATAAAGCATTCATATCGGGTGCCATATATTTCTTTTTACTGGGCCTTTACAAGTCCCTGTAATAAGGGAAATGTGTATAACGCTGCACACTTTAAAGTCACGTGTTACATAAAGTGAGTTTTGTTTTACTTTCTCCAAATTGCATCATACCGTTTCCCTTTTCTTTTGCTAATTACACATGGTTTACAACTAATAAAAATTAGACAGGAAAATCATTATGTTTTATGATCTGCATAAAGTTTTTAATGTAATATAAGAAAAAAAAATAACCAGTGCCAAAAAAAATGGCACTTCAAAGGTAACAGAAAATTCAGAATAAAATGGGTTACCAAAGTTCTAAAGTGGCCTTCCTGTAATGTTATCTCATTAGGATGTGATTCACAAAACATTTGACTGAAACTGGTGTTTTGTAGGGGTGTTTATAGTGAATAAGAACAGAGAGGAATGCCATTGTCAATTAGCACTGGCAGAATTATGGCTTAAACTGAAAATCCAGTTCTGGATGGCCTAGCACACCTAGAACAAACTGTGGACACACAGTCCAACTCCCATAAGAACGCAGGAGTCCTCTGGCCTTTGTCTCAGTAAGCTCTCCGGCATTCATAAGAGCCCCAGGCCATGCTGCCATCTTCTTTCGTCCAAGGTGAAGGATCATGAAGGGAAGAGGCATCTGAGCCCTCCTCTAGGGAGAGGGGCACCACCTTGGGTGGGAGGTCATTTGACACTGTCATGAAAGAAGTGAAGGGGTAGGGAGGGGGAGTGGGGTACGCTGGAGTGTGGGGCAGGTCCTCCAGTGCATGCATTGAGTAGGACTGAGCCCCCGCGAGAGACGGCCCCCAACCCATGCTCCTGTGCTGGGTGCTGCTTCCTGACTCCAGCTGAGAGAGACAGCTGCTGCTGGGTGGAAAGGTCTGCAGGGCATCCGCAGGCACAGGGTCTGGCTGGCTGAGACCGTCTGGCACCGTCTGTTCCCAGGAGTCTCTCTAAAGAGAATGGCAATGGCACAGGAATTAGCATTTAACTGATGCTCGGAGGACACAGCGCTGCCACTGGACTGAGGCATCCAGAGAAGCCTTGGTCTTCCCTTGCTGCTGCTGAAGCCCACCGGCCAGGCAGCTTTTTCCCCCGGGGTCTGACCCAATCCAGGAAAATCGGAGTTAATTTCTACTTGTGGATGTTGCTCTAAGCCCCACATTCCTCTTTACACAAGCAGGGGAAGGCAGCACCCAGTTCTGGTTTGGTGAAGTAGCCTTACAATGACATGGGCTCTAGAACCACCTGGGGTGGGTGCACCCTACCTGCTCAACGGTGCTTTTCTTGGGGAGGACTGCGTTCATTCACAGTACCACCCACCCATCACCCTCCTGACACTGAACTGTTCATCTGAGAAATGGGGCACAGATTTCTTGAGGAGCTGCTGCAAGCCTTAAATGAACAAAGGCCGGTAAAAGTTCTTGTCACAGAAGGAGGTTAATTCCCTGTCCCACCCTCTTTGTCTAAAATTCCAGCCTCATCAACTCAGCCCATTGTGGCAGGAGGCTTTACAGGTTTCGGTCAAAGGACTATTAGCAGCTTTTAGAGCTCTCTGAGCTTAGCTCTTTGGAGGGATCAAAAGAGAACAAGGTAGGGGGCGGGTTGTGAAGAAGCTGGAGCAGCGGGCCTGGAAAGGAAGCGGAAGAGGAAGCTCTGTTCATCTCTTGGGGGAGCTTATCTAATGCTATCTAGACTTGACTTCTTCGGGGGTCACAAAGGCCTGAAGACTCTTGCACTAACAGGTGGGGAGCATTCAGTAAACCATAGAATAATAACAAAAACGAACATGAATTTATCTTAGGGGCCCCTGGTTCAAAACCCTAGATGGGCGCTTTTGATGACTTGGTTGATGTGATCTTTGAGAAAGACCCCCTCAGAGGTGCCCCAGAAGAGCCAGCCTGACCCGGCACCTCCAGGGGTGATCAAAGAAGCCGAAGGAATCCCCGAGCATCCAACTGGCATCAGCTCGGTTAACACGTATGAGGGCTGGGCTGCAGGAGCTGGGGCCTCCCCTTCCTCCCCACACGTGAAATAGCCATACTCACACACACAAAGTGAGTTGGGTCACTGGGGAAAGGAGGTGGCAGGAGCGGCGGCAGAGTTGAGGTGCCGAACAGGGAACCCGGTGTCGGGGTCAGCGCTGGTGGGCGGTAGTCTCCATAGGGCTCTGCTAGGTAGGACTCCAGCAGGCCTGTGTGACTCTGCCCAGCGGAGGATTCACAGGCAAAGGGCTTGGTGGTGCTGGAGGTGTAGAGGTCATTGGAGAACTGTTTGCCGCTATGGAAGTCCGAATCAGACAGGAAAGACCTCCTGACACCGTAGTAGCCAGACATGACTGGTGATCCTGCAGCCGAATGAAAGAGAATCGGGCACAAGTTTCAAGTAGGAAGTTCAGAGCATTGCGGCCTGCATTGGTGTCGTGTGGAAAGATGGTACCCACATGTGCCCGACACCACTGTTAACAAAGAAACATACATGTCTTGAACGGCATGCAATATTCCCGCGTCACTCTTTCATCCCAAACAGACATGTTTAAGTCCAGTCTGGCTTAAGGATGAAGTCATGTTATATGTACAATAACATCACTGAGATAATGATTTATCATGTGTCTTCCAGGTCCAGATACTTCTAGGAAGTGGCACAGAGAGATAAGTTAAAGAATTCCTTCCTATGGTGTCCTTCTCAGCATTAGCTGTCAACCTGACATAGCCTAGAACCACTGGCAAAGAGTCTCGAATGAGTGTCTTTATCAGGTTGGTCTGAGGGTATGTACATGAGGGATTTCATTGATTGTTAATTGATGTGGGGGGGTACCCACTGTGGGAGGCCCCATTCCCTAGGCAGGTCGCCCTGGGCTATGTAAGAGAACTAAGTGTAAGCCTGCCAGTGAGTCGGCTACTGACATTCATCCGTGCTTTCTGCTTCAAGTTCCTGCCCTGACCTCCCCCGACGATGGGCAGTAATTTGGAAGCCTAAATAATCCCCTTTCTCCTAAAGGTTGCTCTTGGTCATGGTGTTTGTCACAAGCAAGAGAATGAAACTGGAATGTTTGGAATCAACGCCTTTTGATGGAACTATAAACGTTTTCCCATGGCTTTTGAACAACATCTCGTAGCATACAGGACTGTTTCCAAGGGTTGCTTCTGGACTTTTTACATGAGATAATATCTCTCTAGATAAGATGACACATATCCCACCTCAAGCCAAGGACAAGTGTACCGTCTTCATTTATCTATTTATTTATTGGACACTGATCTTCACCATCATGTGATCTTCACCTAGCCTGCATCAGTAGATGGCTTGCCCTGAGACAATATTGTTGCAGAAAAGGCTTTATTTTTATTTTAATTTTCATCCATCCATCCATCCATCCATCCATCCATCCATCCATCCATCCAT